TAAATATCACAATCATTTCTTATAAATACCATTTCCTAATGTAATTTTCCAAGATCATAAAGATCATAATGCAAAAAAACTAAATTTATCAAAAGTAACAGGATTTATGTTTCTTAAACTACATGCATTTATGAAGTTTCAAACAATTTGATCCATTAGTTTTAATGTTGGAATGAAATATAGCAAGACTTGCATTAGCTACTCAGAGAGTTTGTAGCCGGTGGTCATTGGGTTAAGGACTTAGATTAATTCAATTTTTGTCTTTTAATGGAAGTAGTAAGTATTACATAACAAAACTAATAAAATACCTCATTTAAAAAAAAATCTTGGAATGGGATTTAATAAAAAAAGTAATTACAATCCCTTTTGTTTTCTATTTTAGTGGCCCGGCATGGACAGGTGGTTAGGGAACTCGACTCGCAATCTGCAGGTCGCGGGTTCGAATCCCAGTCTCACCAAACATGCTCGCCCTTTCAGCCGTGGGAGCGTTATAATGCGACAGTCGATCCCACTATTCGTTGGTAAAAGAGTAGCCCAAGAGTTGGTGGTGGGTGGTGATGACTAACTGCCTTCCCTCTAGTCTTACACTGCTAAATTAGGGATGGCTAGCGCAGATAGCCCTCGTGTAGCTTTGTGCAAAATTCAAAACAAACAAACAATCTATTTTAGTGTAGATCAGTGTGATTAATGTCAGCATCATGCATGTTGGAGTCTACTTGTCAAATCTGTTGTATTGTAACAAAAAAGTTGTTAACTCTAAAACAAAATTATGTAAAAAGGGAAATGAGACTGTGGAAATTATATGGTATGATTGCCTTTTATTAGGTGTTCATAACATGATTATTGTTGCAACAAATGGTTTATATATAGTGTTCTGACCACCACTGTGTCATGTCCAAGCCAGTCTGAGCTCTCTATTGAGTGAAATAATGCATATGGTAGCCATAATGTGTGTGAAATATTTATACACTCTTCTTTCTCATGAAAAACCAAAAGGAATGAATAAAGTATATTATTTTAAAAATATAAGTATCATAATAATGTGTGACAAATATGATTAATTGTGTAACCAATAGTCTTGAACTTTTAACACAAAGTTAGCCTGTTCAAGCATGTGGTTTTTATTATTATTCTGTCTTAGCTTAGACACTAAATGACAGCATGTTTATTTCTTTTCATAGTTGTACAAGCAAAAGTACCTGTCCCCAATGATGGGAAAAATTTAAGTTAATCTGTCAATTTAAATTATTTCGTGGACTTTTAAAAGGGTAATTGTGTTGCACTCGTGGTTTCACTCAAAGCCAAAGCTCCGAGCTACTTCTACCACTCATGACAAAAAGTAATTGTTCAGCATTTCAATGATGCTAAGAGCCACTTAATAATAACATATGGTAAATCCAAATTTTTGTTTTTTAAGTTACGTTACATTTTGAAATGTGAATGATAGTGTGATTAATTCCAAACAACTTAGTGTAGAATATCCTGCTAGCAAAATAAAATTTGGCTTCAACATTATTCATGCCTGTTCTCCCATCATTTCAAAAGTGAATGTTGGGCTTTGCCTGCATGTGCAGCTTTTCAAGGGGTAGAAAGACGAATGCTCGGACAAACACCACAGTTTACATCATATTTTAGATAGCTTCTTGGGGTAGATCTGGATCATGTTGTCTTTTCCATCTTCCCAACATATTACATGTATGATTGGCCAAATGTCAGAATTTCCAGCTAATAGCAAATAGGTTTAGATTAAGATCACCTATTGTCAGTAAAATGAAATATAATTGGCTGTTTTTGTGATGATATCCAACTGCTGACATTTTTAATGTATGGCTCATGCATTGATTCACTGGCAGTGAGAATGCATACATTTGAGGTGATAAATTGAGAAAAGGTTTTAAAAAAATTATTTTCTCTGATATGCCTGTCTAGAAAAAACAAACTTTTGATAGTTATGGAAAACTGGAATTATATATATATATTTTGTTTTTGTTTTTTTTTCTTTTAAATTTTAAGCCATTAATTTTTATTCTTTGTTAAAAATTCACGATCTTCCCTCCAGTGAGCTGAGAACCTGTTGTCCCCAAACCTTGGTTTTTCAGCCATATTTCTCTTTGTCAGCTGCTACTTTTAAAAAGACATCATGGCATATATATTTACAAAAGTGATGTATTTTGTAGGTTTTGATTCTAAATGGGTTTCAGAAGTGTTATTTGTAAACTACAGGTTTTTTTGTGAGGCCAAAAGTAAATATTTTTTGCACCAGAAAGAGGTCTAATCATGGCTATTAAGATATCACACACACGTATATTCACATCAATAATTTGCAGGTGAGAAATAATACAGTTTTAATATGTATTTTTCATCTGAATTTATCCATGAAATATATAAAAGCTTCTTCTCTTTTGCTTTCACTTTTGCAGATTTTAGGGCAACAGTCAACAGGTCGACTCCAGCAGGTGGAGAACTTACAGCATAGCTTAAAATTGCTGCAAGAAGAAATGTCCAAGTCTGCTCATCTGCACAGTAAAATCTGTTCAGAAAAAGATGCTATGATAGTTCAGCTTCAACATTCCATTCAGGATACTCAAAAAACTATGGAGGTTTGGCTGTCCTCTGTCTCAGAGTTTTAGCTAATGTTACCCTGTTCTCATTCTATTTTCTGTCTAGTCATATACCATCTTTTTTTTTTTTTTGGATGATATAAATTTTTATTATGTTTTAACATGAAAATTTATTATTAGTACTCAATGGAATAGTTAAAGATCTTGTATAATATATTAAAAGGATTGATAGAATGTGTTTAAAGCACATTTATATGTATGGTAAGTGGTAATTCTAAAAAATATTTATATTTTCACTACATTTGAAATAATGTTTTCAAAAATTTATACTGTATAAAGATAAACTTAAGGATAACTCTTTTTGGTTCATATTACAACATAGTTTATATACATTTTAATGAGCATGAAGTACGTGTTATGTAAAAAAAAGATTATTTTTCTACACCTAGATGAATATTGCTAGAAAATAACATTTTCATAAATATAAAATACTATTGTGTGTGTTTATATATATATTTTAAAGAACATTTTCACTTGTGCATATATAAAAAAATATCTAGTAATAGAAGTTTCATATTTTCTAAATAAACCAAATTAAAAGAAGAAAACTTTTCACTGTTTACTTAGTACAGACAGATTGTAACAAGTTTTTGTCTTGTGTTGAATGTGTTTCTAAACTATTAACTATTAATTGTATCTTAAGAACTTAAAGCAACAGTAAAAGTAACAGAATTACCTATAAGCATTGTTTTTGTTTATAAAAAAAGTTTCCAATAGGAGAAAATACAGTAAGTCAATATGATAAAACTCAGAAAAATTAAATATTTTCTCTAAACTATTCAAAAATCCCTTTGTTATGTGGTGAAAATGAGCTGTGTATTATAGAAGCAAAAAGTATTGCAGGCTATGAGTAAATTTAAAGAATTCTGATACAAAATTGAATTTAGGGGAATTAAGTGTTTTATATTTCATTGTATGAGGATTAAAACATTGAATGTATTTTATTTGATACTATTGTATTAAAATGTCTACATATCAACAATAAAAAAATTATTTTCAAGTGAACAGTTTGTTCAGTTACCTGTTGCTAGCCAAAATTTGCATAAAAAGTGTCATGTTATAATGAAAGTTTTAGCCATTTTGTTAAATAAGAATTGAGAAATGACTGTTATTAGTTAGGCAAATAAACAGTTCAGTTGAACTAATTCAAAATTACTTGTCTTTAGGCTAATAAAATTTCAATGAATAGAATACATCTAACTCAGTTGCAAGTTAATTAACATAAAGCAAAGAATAAAATCAGGAAATGTTGGAAATATATGTAAATGTGCAAACTTTCGTTGATGTGGAAATGCAAGGGAAACAAATTGCCCTATTAGATAAACAAAATAAAGTTAAGATCATTTTTAGAACAGGATACAAAAAAATGTATTAAGTTAATATACAAGCCCTATATTGACTAAGGTACAAAATTACATAATTTGATTAACTCATTATTAGTTTTTGTCAAATTAACATGAACTTAAAATAATTGATTATTTATTTTTATGTTGCAAATTATTTAGATTTTGTTTGTTTTTTCTATCTGAATGTAGCAAAGATAGTTATGTACGTTTAAAAGTTTGGGAACTTGACGTGTAAATCAGTTGTCATATAATACACATTAAAAGATCAGATGATTAGAAAGATGGTTTTTGAAACAGTTCATGATCTGGGAAAAAATGTTTTGTTATGTGATAAATTATATGAGTTCTGTAATGAACTTTTAAAGTTTATTTGTGTGAAAATATTTGTTTACAAAAATTTAATAGTTCTGTATGTATAATTTTGTAGGTTTTTTATTTGTATTTATATTTTCAAGTTAATATTAATGGAATAGTTCTATATATAAAGTTTAGTATGTTTTCATTCATATTTCTATATTTTAAAATTAATATTCATGGAATAGTTCCATATGTAGAGTTTAGTAGGTTTCCTTCCATGTTTCTATATTTTAAAATTAATATTAATGGAATAGTTCCATATGTAGAGTTTAGTAGGTTTCCTTCCATGTTTCTATATTTTAAAATGAATATTAATGGAATAGCTCTATATGTAGAGTTTAGTAGGTTTTTCTTTAACATTTCTATATTTTAATATTAATGGAATAGTTCCATATGTAGAGTTTAGTAGGTTTCCTTCCATGTTTCTATATTTTAAAATTCATATTAATGGAATAGTTCTATATGTAGAGTTTAGTAGGTTTTTTCTTTCATATTTCTGTATTTTTTAATTAATGTTTTTTGTTTTCTTCAAATAACTTTTTTGTTCTACACGTTTTGTCTGTGTTAATTATTGGCTAATGCTTATTTTTCAAGATACATGTAATGATAATATACATGTTTATGTTAAATTACATCAGTAAAAGCTAAATTAATTGTATCAGCTTTACTTTTTAATTTTTCTAGGATGTCTTTATGGGGAATGATAAAGCTTCACTTGAACAAGAGTGCAATGCCCTCCATCAGGCTATTAAAGAAAAAGACAACTTTATTCAGGTATGATTCATATGTCAAAGTTATCACTTTGTTAACTTGATTTTATATAAAATTTTCTGCACACAGAAGAAGAATCTGAATATATGTATTGTGCTTATACATGTTGAAAATTGTTTCAGCTCGTAAAGCAACTGCCATCACAATAAGATATTTATAAATTAAAAAAAGAACATGATTTCAGTATACTTAAAAGTTCAAAATGTTATGCTTATTTCTACTCTTAACTGTGCAGTGATTACTGTATAAAAAAATTTTCATAGCACAAGCAGTATCTAGTATAATAAGTTGTCAGCATGAACAATCTGATGATATAGAACAGTAAGGCCCAAGTTTTTTACATATTTATTTGTAAGTGTTCTAGATACTTCCCAGGACTACTCAGAGTTTCCTGTGCAAATTTATACAGAAACTAAACTACATTTTTACATTTGACTTGGATGGTCACAGTATTAATCCTTTCTGGACTGGAGAGGTATCACAGATATCCCTTGAGTTGTTTCCTTTTGACAGTGAAATACTTAATCAAATTGCATGAAACTTGAGTAAATTTAGTAGATAGTATCTAGATTTGGCATAAGTAAAAAAATTAGTATAGTTTGAAATAGTTTTTCTAAAATTTTGTTGTTTGAATAACTCAAGATTTAAAGTTAAAAAGAAATAAAACAATTTCATAAAGTCAGTCTACTCAGAAGCATATTAAAATGGATTCTTTTTAGTAACAAATTAGACATAAGTGAATATATAAAGAATTTTAATATGTGACAGGTAAGTAAACATCTAGAGAACTTTAATGTGTGACAGGTAAGTGAATATATAAAGAACTTTAATGTATGATCAAATGCTTTCTTAACATTATTGACTAATCATTTTGTCGTATTTCACTTACATTTGAAATTATTTAACATTGTATTTAGTGTATACTTGAGTGATGAGAATAATGATTGTGTGCAGTTGAAAATCAACTGAAAGAAACTTTACATGTTTTTGTATTTATGTGCATGTATATACATGCATACACACAGTTTTAATTTCATACTCATATTGCTAGGAACTTCTGAGTGAAAGAAACAAAACAGCAAAGGAAATGGAAAAGTCACTTCAAGGTCTTCTTAATAATTTGCGTTTAAAGGATTCTACTGTACAGGAATTGGAAAAAAAATTAAAAGAGGATCTCCAATGTAAGGATGAAGAAATTCAAAGGTTAAACAAAGAACTTAGTTCTTCAAATGAAACGTTAAGAACTGAAAAAGAAGAAAAGGAAGCTTTAAATCTACAGATTGTTCAGCTTAGAGAAGCACAAAACTATATTGAAACTGATTTGAAGAACAAAAATGAAAAACTCAATGAGTTAACAATAAAGACTGAAGAATTGACTGAGCAACTGAAAAATGCAGAACAGCAAAAATCCCAAATAGAACAGTTCTTTAAAGAGAAAGAACAACACCTTCATCAAGCCAACATAAATTTAAATGAGGTTAACGCAGAATTAGAAAGTAAAAAATTGATGCTAGATCATACCGAAAGTGAAGTTCAGTTAAAAACAAAAGAATCAAAGTCATTACAAAATGATTTAAACTTACTTCAGAGTGTACTGTCAGAAACGGAGCATAATCTTAGTGTTAGAAATGAAGAACTTTCTTCAGCATATGAGACAATTGAGAAACTAAAATTAGACCTGGAAGAAGCCCAGAAAAATGTGGGTCTTATCTTTGAAGTGGGATGTTTGACAGAACAATTAAGAGAAGCTGAGGAAGAAAAACATAATTTGGTCAAGGAAAGAGATGAAAAAGATGTAAGGTTAGAGCAGATGGTCAATGAGCTAGATAATACCAGACATCAACTTCATGAGAAAGAAGTGGAATTGGTAGAAATTATGCAACATCTCGATGGTAAATCTAATGAATTAACCATATTAGAAACTGATCTTCAATTTTTACAAGATTGTCTTGCCAAAGAAAATGATTTAAATGCAACAGCAAACAAAAAAATAAAAGAACTAAGCAAAGAACTTGAGATTATAAAAGCTGAAATGGAAAAGCGTGTAGAAGATAAGGAACAAGTGATAACAGATTTGCAAATGAAACTGAATGACATTCAACTTGATGCAAGTCAAAAACTTTCACAAGAAAACAGGGTACATAAAATTGATATGGCATCACAAACAAACGAAGATTCTTACCAGCAATTGGAAGAAATGAGAAAAGAGGTAAGATTGCGAGAAAAGGCTATTCTGCAGAAGGATGATTTCATTTGCAAGTTGCATAGTGCCTTGAATACTAAGAATGAAGAGCTTAACAGTGCCAAAAATGAAAACAAGTCTCTCAGTGACCAGTTGATGTCCATTAAACAAGAATTAGTTACGCAAAAGAAAGAAACTGAAGACCTAAATAAAAGAATTGTAGAAAGCATACAGGAAAGAGCTGATCAAGAATCACTTGATAAACCTGCCTTAGATTTTCAGAACCAGACTGAAGAAATGAAAGTTTTACTAGATGAACTGCAACAAAGTAAACAAAAACAAAAAACTCTACAAGACCAAGTTAAGATATTGGAGGAAGAATTATCTCAAATTAAAGCAAATAAATCTCAAGATAGAGCAAAAAGTAATGAAATACAAGTAAGTTGAAAGTGATTTATGTTGAAAATGTTTTTACAGTAAAATGGTTGTATATACCTTATAGCTCAATATTTAGCTCTGCTCTAAGTAGGTATCTAGCTTTTACCATAATTTAATAATTAAAGTTATGTTTGAACAGATATTTTTTAAGGTTGCTATATTTCAGTCTTGGAAGCCATGACAACTCACACTTCTATTGTTACTACTACTGTCCATACTTTTATAAGCTTCATATTGTTTTGGTACTTTATGATTGGTTGGATGATTGTACTCTGGTGCAGCTCATTTCCACACAATAAAGAGGTGGCATTACCATAGTACACTGAGTGGTCACAAGTAAATAGACACCTAATTTTTCGTCATGTAACTGATTTATGCTAACTAATTTGTGTTCACAGAGCACTATATTAATGAAAATGGTCTGCACACTAATTATCTTGTGCTACAACATGCCTAGAACTCAAGGTTCTCACAAATTGTCAGATTTTGTTAGAAGAAGGATAGTTGGTCAAGCAGATGGTGGAATAAGTCAGCGGCATATTTCGCAGAATATGGGAATCCCGCTTTCGGCAGTCAACAGAATCATCGTGCAGTTCAGGAAACAACTGAGCAGCATCCGGGTCGTCCTGGTCCATCAGAGAGGACAAAAAGGGCTGTCAAGAGGAGC